AGTTGGTTAGAAATCCATCACTGCTCTTATGTTTGCTGCCTTTTGTCCCAGTAAATCTCCCACACCAGGAATGTTTCATAACACGTAGTTCCACTCCCTGTGTGGACCATAAATTTGTCCCTCTTCTTTTGCTCTTAATCATCTCCCAGGTCTTCTTGATCACTATTTCTTGACTTTCTTGAGAACCTCATCTTCCATTGCATGTTGTCCCTCTGCTTTGTGTCTACTAGCTTTTTCCAACTTGCTTATTCTGCTTTTCCTGACACAACTTTAAGTCACCTCCTGTCCATGGGGTACCCTTTATGAATCTTGCAAGTTTTTTTTCTCTTTCAATACAGGTTCTGTACCATTTTACTGCATTGGGTTTTGGTAAGCCCTGGTTTAACTCTGGTTAATAAGCTTGGCTGGGTTCACACAGCATGCAGAACCAGGCTGGAACCACTTATATTCTGGCAGTGTGTGACTCGGTTTTGGTCAACACTGTATGGCTGGCTCTTTTTGCTCAACAGTCAGAATACTTAGGAGTTTTTATCCCGTTGTGGTTGCTGAGTAAGGGATCAGTTGGATTCACAAGTGACACAAGCTGCAAACGATTTTGAAAAAACATACGTGTAAGGTGGGGTATTTTATGTGCCTTCTCTGCCTTAACTTTGTGAAGAGGACACTGATTCTTCTTGCTAAATATGAATTCCGCACCTGCAGCAGGATTCAGTCTTCTTCTGCATGGGAGAGGTTCTGTTCCTCAGGAAAGCCCCCTTGTTCAAGCCAGCCTGTGGCTGAATAAGGAAGATGTTGCTGCAAAGCTACTTATCTGTGGCTTGGAGAAGAAAAAAGCCATTAAAGGAGCTTCGAAGCTTGCTGAAGGTCATTTGGGGTCCCAGTGACAGCTCACATAAATGGTTCCCTTTGCCCGCTGAGACGGTTTTGTTTCCAAGCGTGCCAGCTTCCCCAGAGGGTCTGTCAGCGGTCTCTCCTCTTTCCTCTTTCGCATCCTGGAAGTGCAGCACATTTCCGGTGGAGGCCGATGACTGACTGGGATCGTGATCTGTAAGAAGGGGTGGGTGCCTCGATTGTCCCCTGTGGCAGAGAGAGCCTCTTGGCTCCTAAGGGAAAACTAGGTGCGTGGGTGGAGGTCATCTCTCCTTTTGGGCTGCGTCCCTTAGACTGCACGCCTTAAGTTATTTTCCATGACCGCACTCCGTAGATTATTTTCTTTGCATTGTTCTAGCGAGCTCAAGGCGGAGCACTGGAGGAAAGCAGTTCCGCATGACGCCTCCCGGCTGCGAAGAGGTTGAAGGCTTGCTTCTGTTTAGACAGAGGGAGAGGAGAGTTTGGCAGAAGGTTGACCCATGTTCCTTACTCTGAGCTGAGCCATGGGGTCCTAATGACAGGTGGTTTAACTGCAGGTGTTGGGTCAACTTCTCCAACATCACTCTGAATCTCAGAACATCTGTCAGGCAGGTGGGGGCTGTGTTTCAGGAAACATCTCCTGGCCATTTTAGAAGCTGGCCAAGGCTCTAACAAATGCAAGCATATATGTTAGATTTTTGCATGGAAGGGTCTCAGTCACTGATTGGTATCAAAGGTGGTAACTGGTTGCACATATTCCGTAAGCCATGATTTCTTGAACAATGATTGTTTGATTAAGGGCCACTCCCCCTGCATTTCCACTGATCCACTGATCAATCCCCTGTCGATGTGCATCACCATTAGGCAGTTCTGCAGCTGAACCGTTTCACTTCTGTCTCAGCTGGCACTGAGCAGTTTGCAGGATGCACCCCAGGCCATGGGTGGGAATTCCTACCTTATCTGCCTCCTTGGCTTTCCCATCACCCTACTGGTAAGGGTGGCTTGCCATCTTCTGTCTTACAGTCCTTTTTGGTTGCACAAAGAGGCAGCTTTGCATCCCCCACACAAATACAGACACAGCACAGTATAGGAATATAATTTGGTTTGTTTCTTTACAGTCGCTGACAGGTGTAAGATACAATTCTGCAGATTTGGGTGGGTGAAAATGGAGGCTGTGTGGAAGTGGCCTAAACCACACTTGGCTGCATTTGCATGACACTTATGCCTTAAGCGTGGTTTAAAACCTACCAAGTTGGGTTCACACAACATGCTTATCTAAAATCAAACAAACCAGATATGGCTGAGCATTGCATGAACAGTCAGATTTCTTGCGTTTCTCTGCTTCTGCACAGTGACTTCTAAAGGATGGGATTGTGATCAGGTTCAATGCTGAAACAGAACAAAATGTGACTTGTCAAATTCAGCCTCTTCTCTGTCTACTTTTCTCATGCATTTGTGTTTAGCTGGTGGGCTTGGGGAAGGAGATATCTGGGGGGCGGGGGAGGTGGAGACATTCCAGCAGAATTAATCCTGTAAGGTTTTGCAGCCACGTCCATCCAACAGCTGCCTGAAATTCAGCAGCTCTGGCCAAAGTAACTTTTGTAAGGGCAGAAGGGGGTGACATGTTATGCTAAACTGTAATGGAGTTTGGTTGGAACTGGATTAGCAAGTTGCAGCAATTTTGCTGCTGTGGTTTGCCAATCATACTTCCTGGTTTAGTTATTGTGTAAACCTAGCTAATTCAGCAAACCAAGTATGAACAAATCATCTTAATCTAGTTCCCTGTTTCATGTAACACAGTAGATTAAACTAAGATGGGTTGGCAGGTTGTGTGTTGTAGGAATTCAACCATTGTCTTCGTGTGTAATGTGAAGAGACTACTGCACTGAACTACCATTTGATTTATTTGTCAGGGCATAACATGTTGTATGAGCACAGTCATGGGTTTCGTCCACGTGGGTTTAGCATGTTGAGGGAGAGCACAATAGGATTCAGTTGCCTGAAGCGCTTCACTGCAGCCAGAAAGAAATTTCCTGAATGTGTGTTGGAGATAAGCTGGTGGTGCAGCTGAGCTTGGCATGAGAATTCAGCCTCTCCCAGGTTGCCCCTCTCTGCAAGAAATAATTAACTTAGAGATATCCAGGCGTGGGACTGGCTTCATTCATTCATTTATTATTTAGAGAATTTATATGGTCGCTCAACTCCAACCATGAGACCCTGGGTGGCTTACAAAAGACAGCCACCTTTTTCATGACCAAAAGGTGCCCATGGCTCTTGGAGGCTGACGTAATCTTGGAAGCCGTGCTTGACAATAACACATTATTCTTTCCAGTAAACATCTGGAGTCTAAAATAAATGTTGTGGCATTGCCAAATTGGTATACTTGCTGCGTCTATTTCGGGCCAAGCCTGGCTCCTGCTCTTTTAATCGCTGAGGTCCTGGGTCCAGAGGTGCTTTTGAAGCTGCTGTGGACCTTGGGCGTGCTGTGGGAAGACCGCCTGACTGGTTTCCTGTGGCGGCTGCGTGGGAGCAGGGGCTGTGCCTTCCCTGGGGTCATGCCTAGCACCGCGGCTGTGTCCTCCTTGGAGGCCACTGGGAGTGGGAATGCCTGGGCCCGTTTCCGTATGAGGCCTTCCTGGCTCTTGGCTCTTTCTTCCCAGAGAAGAGGCACCTGTACAGAAGATTGGTGTGTGTGTGTGTGTGTGTGTGTGCGTGCGTGTGTGTTTAACAGGCCCACTTCACATGGCAATTTATTTCTATCTGCATCCCTCCTTTTATGAAGCACCGCTTACAAAGCATTTGTTCTCACGGAAGTCTCCTGTTACCGAATTCAGATTTAAGACTGTTTCATGCCTGAGTTCCGTGCCTGACTTCCGTGGCTTCTAGTCAAGAAACCATGGAAATCATTAACAAGGCATTTTTAGCAACATTTTCCAACTCGGGTCTCTAGAGTTCTTTTAGGGAAACTGACGGTGACAAAGGGTTGAGACCACAACGAAAACAATTTACAGTTTTTAGGCATTCTTAAGGGTACCCGCATGATTTTCTGTCATCAGGGATCTCCAGGCTACAGATCCCATCATTCCTGCTGGCTAAGGTTGGTGGGAGTTGTAGTCCAGCACAGATGGAGTGTACCAGGTTGGGAAGGGCAGCCTCAGACAAAGCTCCTTCTCGCCCCAACTCTCATCCCAGCGTTCTTGCTCGGAGCCCACTGGAGGAAGACCCTCACTGCTCCCTGGCAGTCCCCACGGCAGCCGGGGATTGGGAGGCAAGTTTATTTTAGAAAGCCGTTGGGCACCCTCCTCTTTGAGGCTGTTTTGTGTTTTGTGTTTTTTTCACAGAGCTACCTCCCAGGTTGTTGCAGATTGAAAGCAGATGTTGTGATCTGAGCAACAGCAGGAAGATTTCTCATCTCAAAAGAAACACTGCAACAGCTGTAATATTCTGCACTCCCTTCCTCAGTTAGACATTCATCCCACAATGCCTTCAGAGACGCCTCCTTATCTGCACTGGTAGGAGGAGGCCATCGATTGGATGGTCCTCAACAGTAACAGTGCACCTACGTGGCCTGCTCACATGACACGTGGTAGCTTCTAGCTGAATGTGTCAGCAGGCTAGCGCAGTTATGGTTGAATCAGTTTTTGGTCAGCAGTCTGCAGCTAGTTGCTATTTCTGACCCCCCCCCCCCCAAGAGAGGGAGATCCATTGGAATGATCTGCCTGAGATACTTTATGGATCCTCTTGGATTCCAACAGGTGCTGGGGAGGTTCCAGGGAGAGAGTAGACAGTCCTACTACAAGTCTTGTCAGCCTTTGGAACAGGAGGCTGACGAGTGGTGGACGGGGTGCCCTCACATGGCTTCTCTCCTGCTGCAAATCGCATGGCACCCCATGGTTTAATGAGGAGCTGCGGGCCCTGCAATGGGGACCAGGAAGGCTCTGAGTCCAATTCCAGGTGCTGCTGATGACCTATAAAGCCCTTCAGGCCTTTGGTCACCTTAGGAGATGCCTTCAAGCAGAATCTCATTTTGTTGGAGCATGCTGGGAATGTTCAAAAAATGTTTAGAAGCCTCAGCTGGTCAGAATGCTGCTCCAAGTGATTAGTAACTCACTTGCTCCGGGCTACTAGTTTGTTTGGGGGCACAGTTCAAACCCTGTGTGGCTTAGAAGCAGGTGAGAGTCTCTATTGCCCTTCCAAAGTCCCTCTACCAGGGAAAACACTTTGGCCAGGCAGGTCAAAACGGGCTGCTTGACTGCTGCTGTCCTTGGAACTCCCTGCCAAGGGAAATTCAGCCAGTTCCTCACCTTTTATCCTTCCACTAGCATGCATCGTATTTTTATTCAGAGAGAGATTTTTGGTGAGTAAATTGGTTTGGTTGCTGCATTTGCTGGGTGCTAACTATTACCATCTTTTTAATTTTGCTTGAAAATGGTTTTTTAAAAATTATTATTATTACTATTATTATTCATTTCATTTCATTTCATTTCATTTCATTTCATTTCATTTCATTTCATTTCATTACCCTTTGCTGTCTGTTGATAGACCGGTTGGCCATACATTAAATAAATGGTTGCAGATAAGTGTTAGTTAACTCAGGCATTTTAAATCCATGTGCACCTAATGAGTTTCATTCTTAGGGGTACTATTTAATGCACTGAAATGGTGCAGTTAGCACATAACAGTTGAATGCTGCCCTGTGAATAGACTTCAGATGGAAGTAATAGGAAGGTCATATTGAAACTGCCTTGGAACTAAGTAAAAAAAGGTAAAATCTCCTTTGATGCAACCTCGAACTACAGGCTGAGCATCATTTGCCTCTGCCTTCTTCTGGAGTTCTTTTGGACTTCTCAGTCTACTTGCCCCCTGGGATTTCCTGTGGCCCCCTCTCCAGGTATTAACCAGGCTCAACCCCTTGGAGCTTTCCAGCCCAGATGACATTGGCCAGAGGCTGCCGCCTGCTTGAGCACTCTGGAACGCAGGGGCAACCTTTTCAGTCTCCTGCTGTTTTAGGAGGAAGGATATTTGGGCCCCAGAGAGTATGAAGATGCCAGCTCCTTCTGACTGCGCAAGAAGAGGAGGAACTTTCCTTCTAAAAGCAGAAGTGGTTCAGGTCCAAGGCAGCCGAACTCTGTGGAGATACAAGGCCTGGGGACAGGACTATGGCTGACAGCCTGGAAGTGGCTTGTGGCTGGAGGAAGTCTCAGCTTTCCAAATGAGCACAACCTGCTTCTAAAGTTGGATTAGTGTTTCTCCTTGTGTGTGTTTTTCTGAAGATGATCAGCCTTAGCACAAACCTTCTTGCCATGCATGCCATCAGACTTTTTTTTTTTTGGTGAGTGTGCATGTCCCTTGAATGCACATTTAATGTTAAGGGTTTTTTTTTTTTTTACCAATCTTTGGCACTGGGGAGGTGTATCTGGTGCTGAGCCCCCTTTGAAGTAGGTAATATCTGGGGGGAGAGACTTTCCAGGATCTCCACGTGAGGGCCGCAAGGTTTAGACTGGCTGTGGAATGTTGATACTAGGAATCTAAGGAGGCCTCAGGCCCTCCAAAGGATCTCAGGTCTTCTGCAATCTTGGCTTTCTAGAGCCAGCAGCCGTGGGGTCTAGTGGGATGAATCCCAACTGTTCCTGGCTTTGGGTATCTCTTGAAGGATGGCCTTGTGGGCTGAGTGTTCTGGAAGAGGCTGGGTGCTCTGGATGAGTCTTTAGGGAACGGAAGACCCTTTTTTCTCCTCCCTCCCAGGTGGGTGTGCCTTGTTTTCACACTTTTCAAAAGATAGAAGTTGCAATTATGCACTCAGGTCAGCCAGTGTGGTTTAAGATCAGTGGATTCCCCCTCCCCCTGTGCCTGAGCTTCCTTGGATAGCTCATAAACCATGAGCAAGCTTTTCCCACTTGGCCTGTGTGAGTCCTCTGGCTTCCTGCCAAGGTTGTCCTCTGGAAATGCTGAAATGAGCTGCTTGCTGCAGTCTCACAAGGAAACAGTAATTTGCCACCCATGTTTTTGTTTGTTTGTTTGTTTGTTTATTTATTTATGTGTTGCTTGTTAAACTTACATGCCACCACAGTCCAAGGACTCTTTGACGTGTTGCAGAAGTAAAGGGACAATGGCCCCTGCCACCTCTTTTCAATTTTTCCAGTTGATCTTTGTTTTCAGGGACAGGAATATATTTTGGGTAATTTGAGATGTGATAATGCCTTCTTCAACCTGGTGCCTTCCAGATGGGTTGGGCTATAAGTCCATACTTCCCATGCCATATTAGTAAGTTATGCCCTTTCTGTAGTCTTCTAAAAAGTCTGTAAGGAGCCAAGAGCTCCCTCCCCATCTGCTCAGCCTAGGAGACCCCCAGTCCAAGGATATGCTTAGTGCAGTTGGTCTTGCTCATTGCACTAAGCTATAAATCACTGTGCACAGGCCTCCTTGGCTGGGATCCCACATAATGTGTTATGGTATGAATCTAATCACTGTGGCTCCTGCTGGCTGAACTGGGAGTTTCTCCCCTTTCAAAAGACCATCAAAACATCTCTCCCTCCTTCAGATATTTGGGCTATCTGAAGGAAGGATCATTAGAAATAAATCTTTTGAAGCCTTAATTTGCTGCTAATTACAAGAATTAATAGAGTTGTCCACTGGAAAACATCACCAAAATGGCATAAAATTCTGGATTTTGCTTGGTAAATCAGATTAATCTATTTTTCATGACATTTTGGCACTGACAGATTCAAAGGCTCTTTCAGATTTTCTGGAAGTATTAATCCAGGGAAAAATGTGTGTGAACTCATCTATATTTTCATCCTCCTCCAAGAGTTACATTACCCTAATATTTTCTTGATACAGTTTCTTGTCTGGTTGTAAGTATTAGTTTGATTTATCATGTTCATCTAATTTTTGCAATGCTATAAAAATTGTCCCAGATAAAACTACTTGCCCCTTTTCTCCCTGTAAACAAGTAGGGAGGCTGTTTTACTTGTCTGAATGGTTCTCCTGGTCAGTGGACATATCTGAAGGCATCTAGCAGGTCTGGTAAAGAGGTCAGTTGACCAGGCAAATGCTGGAGGTGAAGAGGTTCTACCAGATCCCTCTTATTGATGAGAGATGGGATCGTCAAACTTTCCTTTTCAGCCGTGACCATAGAAGGATACAGGTTGGGTTTGCACAAAATGCTGCTCTAGGCTCAGATAAGAGTGGCTTATAGGGCTTGTAGGGCAGTGCACTGTGGAAATCTGGTCATGCTTTTCACCTGTGGTGGGAATCAGGTCATCACATTAAGCCATAATCTGTCTTATTTTGGGAACATCACAAGTCATGCTGTGGGAATCCAGATGTATGGAGGCTGTTGTTGCTGGAAGAGAGTTGCCACTGAACCTTTGCTAAGGGGAGCAATTTAGGAGGGATGCAGCCACTCCCTGTAGTGCACAATCACCCGGGTTATTACTTTCCCACCAACCTGGAGGTGGAAGATGCAGGAGACCTTAGCTGGGTGGCCTCTTTTCTGTCTGCAGCAGCAGGAAGGAGGAGAGCTTCTTGGGCACATGGCTCCCATATGACTCCCTCCCAGCTAGGTGGTCTTCTCCAGCCTTCTCTTGCTGGGACTCAGCAGCCACCAGCCAGCCACACTCCCCTGCAGCCCCTGCATGTCCTTGCTTGAAGGAAGCAGGAGACATGAGTTATGGAAGAAAGAACATCTGGGCAGTTCTCCAGCAGCTGGTTCTGTAGAGAAAAGGAGACAGAGCTTGCTGGTTTATTTCAGAAAACTGCTCCGTCTCTATCTCTCCCCCACTTCCCCCCTCCCCAGATAGGTGGCAAGGCTGTTGCACCGTACCTGCAGCAAACAAACACTTTTTTGCAAAGGAGAAAAGTCAGAGTTCTCTGTGAAATAGCCCGCTATGGATAAGGCCACAGGTGGGGACTCCCAAGGCATTTGAGTAGTAGAACATGTTGTGAACTTCCATCCTGCTTATTCTTTTCCTAGTCTTGTGGAATTCTGCCAAATGAATTTAAATACTGAGGGGTGACCAGAAGCATCAATGGTGTTTGTAGGCCTACAGCCCTCTGAGGAAACCCCCATAGATTATGCTGGAATTGCAAAAGACAGTTGAATATGTATTTCCCTTCCCTTTCCCCTTCCCCCTGTATTTCTAGAACAGCTTCTGAGGCATTCAAGTGGTGTTATATTTTAGCAGTGTCGTTTTTATTTTACCTATCAAATCAAATATTTCTTAGAGAAACTTCTGTTTCCCCTTCCCTCCTGTAAGTGATTCATGAACAAGATAATCCAGTGTCACCATTCATCTCCCTTGCAATGGTGCAAAGCTTGCCTTGTCTTGAGGCCTTTTAAGCAATTACATTTTAGAACAATAATGCACAGCAGTGGCAGGCAGGGAGTGGTGTTTGTGCTCAAGGTTATGTCCGAAAGGAAGCCTTGGGGAACGGAAGGAAAATGAGCAGTATTTATTTAAGGCTGCTTGTGACGCTGTTGGTTTTCACCAGTTTGCCTTGAGATACCGTTTTCTTGTTGACTTACTTGCCAGGCAGCATTTTATGACATGCTTGAAGATCACAAGGGGGAGGAACAGAATGGTGAGGGCGCTGCTATCCTAGCACATGAACTGAGCATATATCCTCTGAGAGAGGGGGGTAAAAATGGACCATCTGCCTCTTCAGGAAAGCTAGTCTTGAATTTTTCTGGTGGGCATTTCCAAAAGCTTCAGAGTCCTTGAAGTCCTGCATCAAAGATGTTGACATGAATTGTCAAAAGGCTGAAGGCCAGATCTATGTCACAGTGACTTATGGCTTTTCTTTTTTTAGAATAATTATTGATTTGAAATGCTAGGATTTCATCAGGGGAAATCTTTCCCCACTCTCTCTCCCCTTAATGACTGGTATTTAGATTAAAAACTCAACGTTATGGTCTTCTACTTTGCCCTGAGTGTGTCTGGAAATGGAGAGGGTGAAGCAATTCAACTGTGTTCCTTCATGTTAGGTACTGTGTGTGTCTCGGTGCATTTTCTTCACACTGGGCTTTCCTACTCTTCAAATTTTGAAAACAGTTGCTTTCTTTTTCTGTGCCTTCGAGTCAACTAGCCCCTGCAGTTTTCTTGGCAAGATTTTAGAAGCGATTTGCCATTGCCTGCTTTCCAGCGCTGAGAGAGAGTGACTGGCCCAAGGTCACCCAGCTGGTCTTGTACCTGAATTGGGACTAGAACTCACCGTCTCCCGGTTTCTAGCCTGATGCCTTAACCACAACACCAAACTGGCTCAGTTACATCTGGTTTTTATTCTCTTCAACAAAGAATAATGTATACATTTAAAGTGAGAATATTTTTCTTCTCCTTGGTAACCAGTGCCGTTAAC